TTTTTAACACCTCATTTTGCCCTCTTCGCTTCTTTTTGCGAAGTTTGATTTCATGTTCAAATTAGTAACGAAGCAAAACATGCTCGCAGAGGTATAACATGCCAGTATACTTTAGCATAGTTTTGCAATATTCGCAGCGTTTGCCATAATTTCTAGTTACCTCAGTTATTTTTTCTTTATAGGAAATAGGAAAAAAAAACAGAAAGCGAGTTAACAAATATAGTAAAAAAAGTGTAGAGTAAATCAATTTTTTCTATTTTTAACCATCTTATTGTAGTGGAATTTTTAATTGCTTTCGATTTAAGCCATATCATCTCATCAAGAGAGTATAATCGCATGTAACCTGCGATTAGGGCCTTTTGTCCTGCTGTTTTCAATGTTAGCAGGTTTGCTAGTTTGTTTGGTTGTTCGCTTGCTTGATTGTGTCCTTTGTTTCCTACGCGGAAAGCATCAGCGACCAAATGGCGGGGTTTAAGAGATGGGAACGGTGGGCAGGTTCGATACAGGTGACATCTTGAATCCCTTTTTATAATGTTCATGTACACATTATTACAATAACTGAAATAATGTCACTGATAAGTGAAAGAATTTAAAGACAAGAAGACGCAGTCCCATGACACATTCACGATGAAAAAGTGTTGGTACCTAGTTGTTTAATTCTCTAAGGGTTGAATTGTACGAAATCCTTAGAATATACACTTTTAAGCTTCCAAGTGAGGCCTTAGCGATTGTATTTGGTTGATTTTTCGAATAAGGTTTCGCTGATCCACGTCTTGCAACGTTCTAAATCAACTTTAAAATGCATAACTAGTCGTTTCCTTTTTCTATAAAAACGTTCTTGTAACGAGGTGTACACGAACATCCAAAACATTTAGTTTAAATATAATGACGTGGAGGAATACAACTGTACAGCTGAAGATAACATACCATGGCTACATGTGTAACGAATTGGTTTAACATGTAACTTTATGAAGCTGTCTCTTGGACAAGCTGCACACCTTGTCCATAGCTAGACTCCAGTCTTAAGTCAAATAATAAAATTATCACTTGGAATGAAGGACGTTATCATTGTTTTTCAGTCTCTCGTCAGCATTGACGTAAAATCCCATGTTTTTTTTTTTTGGTTTTACTTTAAAACGTACACACCAGGAAACCTAATCTTCTTCAGCATTGTAAACAACCAACCAGGACATAAATATCGAAAAAACTTGGTGAACGAAAAAATATTCTAACGCTATGAAATTAACGCAAACTTAGTATCTATCGTCGAACGTTTATTGCCGAAAAAATTATATTTGCACTCTTCAAATGTAACATAACTTTCAAAGAATTGCAATAACATCAATCCCTTAGGGAACTGGTCATTTTTTATCGCGGGGGGAGGGGGATTGGAGCATTTTGGTTGTGTCATGATAAAATTTACCCGATCCCCCCATGAGGCTCTTTGACATTCTTTTAACCCCCCCCCCCTCCCCCTCAGCCGCAATTAATTGGCAGCCTATTTTCTCAAGTCAACCCTTTATACTCTGTCGGCCACGATTGATTCCCCACCGCCCTCCCTTAAAACCATGTGACTCTTCCAATATCCCCCGCCCTCCCTTCCCTAACAAGAAAGGCTGTCCATGTAAAATGACCAAGCAAGGAAGTAGAAGAACACAAACTGAAATCTTAACAGGACAAATTTTTAACAGTACTATTTTGCAAATTTCCAAGGATTGTTATGTGCAGTTGACAAGCCAGGTCTTCGTTCCGAAAAAAACTGAAACATGTATAGTGTCCTGGCTACAATTTATCTTCATGTAAGCGGCCTTGCTACAGCTAAAGATCACCGGATCCCTTTCGCGGCGAGGTCTTCCTTAACACGTTGGAGATAGTGTGGATCGGGATAACCAAATCTAAAACAAAAAATAACACAGGTCAATGACTTATTTTGTTACTTCTTCAAAGGGTTGAACTCTTATTAATGACTACTATCAACGGTCAACAATAATCGCGCGGGAAACTTTTCGGTGAAAAAAACACCGCACCTTGCATGACACCTTACAAATTTCAACTTACTTACCCGTGGGCACCCCCCGTTGTATTTGTCTTATGATGTATATCATTCCACGTGATCTGATTGGATAGTCCTGTTGTTATGGAGGTACCCACAGTAAAAACCAATCGTGCGTTAAAAGCTCTGTGTAGCAGCTGCAAGACTTCTTTACCCTCGCGATTATCAGGCAAGTACGCAGTACGATGCGTACCACTGTACTGCTGACCAGGGTTTGGGTGCTCTGGGCCTTGAATTCCTGATTGAAACGAATACTGTATGCAGATGGTGCCACACCCTGATGAAAGAAATAAAAGAGACCAACTTCAAATCGAAATTCTATTTATCATAGAGAAACTTGTAACCTATTTGAAAACAGGAAAAGCTGACTTTTCGGGCGTTAGCCCTTCGTCAGAGCGAAATCGTCATTCGCTCATATTGAGACATTTGGTACAGCCACACTTAGGCCCATGAGAAAAGCTGGAGCTATTTTCCAGCACAGCAGGCGGTCTTAACGCCTTCAGTTGGAGGAACACTTCTTCTTGAGTTTAAGAGTAATTAACTACAGTAACTACAAAAACTGCCATTTTCTGAGGATTCTGCATCCTAGAGACAACATCATATTCAGACGAAACCTGACCACCTTCAGACAACAATTACTTAATCAAAGATTGGAACTTCTGCTTCCCCCTAGAAATCAAATTTTTCGAAATTATTATTTCACTTAATTATGTTGTTAATTTTCCAGTTGGCCAGTCTAACACTTTCTTCAAATGATAAGATGGCTCATCTTTGATGATTCTTTGATAAAAAGTCGAAATGTCAAGCCTTTCGATGAAGATGAAAATTAAAATAAGTTCTTTTTTTTTCAATTACCCCTGAGCGAGTTTGTTGAAATTTAAGGGTTGTATACAACATACCAGAGTAACCTGGGAGACTGGAATGCAGAGTAGACCAAGTCATTTGCCCTGGTGGTTGATTCCCCATCACCACACCTTGTGGCTCCTTACAAATGGGGCAAACATTTAATATCCTCAAAGCTTGACTTAAGCAATCTTGGCAAAAAACATGACCACACTTGATAGTTTGGGGTTTAACCATACTGTCAAGGCATATAGGACATCTGTGATGCATGTTTGTCCACCCTTAAGAAAATAGTGAAAAATGGAAAATTAATTCAAAAGAGCAAAGAAATAATTATGTGTTATGAAATAGGTTGTTGTTCATCATGGCAGGTGGATGATGATATAAATTTGTTCTGTTGTCTCACAACAAAGTCACTAGATGTAGATCGCGATGTTTCAACTGCTTACTGAAAGTCTTCTTCAGGCAATGGGGTTGACTCCATCGCCTGAAGAAGACTTGCAGTAAGCAGTTGAAACATCACAATCTACATCTAGTGACTTTGTTGTGAGATATCCAAACAAATTTATACTATCAAATAATTATGTGCTTACATAATTTTAATTTGTAGCTGATTTTGCTTCGTACAGTTGTAACAGCACTTAATGGGGGGCAGGAAAAATTCAGAAAAGAAGGGAGTGAAAACAGGAGGCCAAGAAGGTGGGCACAACTCTATACATGTACAGTTGTACTGCTCTTCTTTGCCCTCTCTCTCATTTCCCTAATTAACCCTCCTAGTTTATGCCTGTTACATAAAGACTGTTTGATAGAAGTACTGCAAGAGGATCAGTTATGAGTCAGTACTGGTAATAAAAAAAAAAGAAATAAAAAACAATGTGGCCTAAGAATGGCTTCTGCAAAACTGCCAAGTCATGCTTGAACAACTCTAATATAGCCAATGGCCATGGATGGGCATAAGAGGTTTAAGTTGGAGGATAAACAAATAAAGCTGCTGGCAAGCATTCAGAATTGCATTCTTGCATATTGCTGCCTGTAAAAGATCATTTTTAAGTTTTTAAATCAACTTCTTTTCATACTTCCCACAATCCTTCACCCTTCATCCCTCATCCTATGACTGTCTCACACTAAGAAAAAAAATCGATTCACAGAGGTGCAGACAATTACTGGTGATCTTGTCTCCTACATCTTTATCCTTCCCTTTCATATTATAAATAGCAAAAATAAATTGCATTAAAGGTTGCCTATGTCACATACAGTGTACATCAGATTTGGTAAAGCATATTAGCCCACATTGCATCAAGAATGAATGGTAAAATATTTTTTATACCAGCTCCCAAAATAAAATGTGTGTTCCGATTTGAGAACATCATGTTAGCGCTATGGGTCAAAAGTCACTAAATATAACTTTGTAAGAGTAAACAAATCTCACAAACTCTCTAGTGGAACAAAAACTAAACTTTCAACTCACACATGATCAGGTCATGTAGCAGCTGAAAACCTTCCCAAATTTGTGTGCCAGCTCATGTCAAAAAACTAATTTCACAGAAAATTTCAGTAATACTGAATACATATCGTCTGTCTCGTTTTTGAGTTGGGAGGTATAACAAAACACTTAACAACCAGCTCCAGTTTTTTGCTTCCCCTCAAAACTCAACATTTTCATCAACTTTGCCTACTTGAGGTTTTCCAGGAGACAAACCTACAACCTCCTTGGGGTCAGTCATTTTAAAAGTGTCCATATCAAAAGATGGCAGGTACTGTAAGTTCAAATACTGACATAATTATAAAAGATGAAAGTCAAATATCATCAGCAGTATCATTCAAGCCTCAGTGAAGTATTAGTGAACTTGCAAATTTATTGGCTAAATACACCTCTTGGTTAAGACAACAACTGACTGCTAGTCAAATATAATTGCACTACAATCAAACCACAGCATCCCAGCAGCAAGTATACATGAAATTTAAAGAAATTTTTGGTGGACTATTAAACAACTATCAATTCTTCATTGACATGTACATTATGCCCATCTGCCAATAAGTTGATCAAGGCTGCCTACAACTAGCACACGGGATCCAAAGAAACAATATTCTTAAGAACAAAAAAATTGCAACAAAGGCCTGGGTGTACTTTTTCTTCCTATACCTTGCATTTGATGAAAAAAATTGATTTGCCAAAGAAAAATGTATCTAGCAGAGCAGGAGGGAGCTCGGTTGTTCCTTAAGTACTAATACTAATCCAGAATTAAAAGGTACCCCTCAACTGAACTAGACACAACATGCTACTCTGTAACTGTTATTGGCTTATGTAAGGCAGAAGACAATTACATGAAACTGGCTTAAATTAACGGTTAAACAATTTGTAATTAAATACAGCGAAATGAAGAATTTACTCTAACGCTGGATCATTGTGATCCTCTCAGGTTTAACGAGGTTGTGGAAGTGGGGTCGGGTGGGTAATAATGAAAGGCAATGATATCAACTTTGTTTTCAAAATTTGCATTCCTGACGAGAGAATTCAGCTTGCCCTTTGGTGGAAAACCATAACAGAAAAAGATACCAACTAAAGGATTAAGAATCATGAGAGAAAAAAAAAAGAACAGTCAAAAACTGGGGTCGACCATAATGTCAAAATACATGTACAACTCACACTGGTGGACAGAATAATTAACAAATATTCACCTAACAAGGGGTGAATAGTGATGGATATAGCTGCTAAGCAGTGGGGTGAATATCCTCCACTTTCAATGGCACTGAGGTGAATAATTGTCTTAGTATATGCCACACAGATACAGAAAATTAGTTTCAATCATTTCTTTCAATATACCAAAAAAAGGGTTGGAAATGAAACTCTTGGCACACAAATTTGTCTCTTCATTGGCTGCTCCAAGGAAATAGAGTCTTTTATTCACATTAGCCAATCAGTGTATGCAAAAAGCACCACTACTACTAAGTTTACCTGTGTGGTATATACTAATTGAATATAATTTAATATCTCTATTTCAAACACCTAGTTGTTGTCCAAACTAACAGTGGAAGAAAATGTTATATGGAAAGAGATCTTCAGCTTTCAGTTGTCTGTACTGCAAAGGAATCTTTCGTTTTACCTCTCAGGCTCTGGCTTGTGCTTAGATTTAATTAGCTAATAAATTCATT